AGTGCCTCTAACCATAAGTTTCTTCTAATTCGTATTTTAGAACATAATAATATTTTATTTTCCTTTTTTCTCCTAAAACGACGCCCATGTTCTTCTGTAAGAAATAATATTAACGAGTGAAACGTAACCTCACTTCCTTTTTTATATTTAAAATCACATAAAACACAAGTCATTTCCTAGTATAAAATAAACCCTACAAATCAAAGTCACTTTTAACACCACCATACTTGAACGAATTTAAGTAAAAACTTAAAAAATAACTGGAAAAATAAAAATATAGAGATAGAGATATTAATCAATTTCTCTCTAATTAGAATCTTTCATGCGATATTATCAAGGCGACAAAAACATTGTTTACTGTCCTCTCTGAACTACTCTGAGGTTCTAATTATAATCTGACTGGCCGTTCTTGGAATTCAATATATTCTGCGTTAATTGATTTTGCTGGCTGACCGGGCTAAAAGTTGTAGCGCCCTCAATTCACGTAGTCGGTTGGACAAATTAGACGACAAGTAAGAGAGCTATGAAATTTTCCTTCTTGCTTCTGTGTAGATAGTGAATAGAGGATAGATAGTGAGTCTGTTTATTATCTTAACAGTGTTGCCAATGTCCGGATAATTATCCTATTTTCGGATAATTTCGAGTACTATCGGATAATTCAGTGTTCTACAAAATGGACGTATATCTTACTATGAACGTATCAAAGTATAAAAACATTTAAAAATTGTTTTATTTACAGCAGTGTTATACTACTATTAAAGCACTTGTGTACCTACATAGAATTGTCTAATAACACGGTGATTTTTATGTATAGCATAATCGAATTAGGGGATTTCTCGAAAGCAATATGTATTTCCAGGACAGTAATAAATAAATACTCTGTCTACAGCCGTGCAAAGTCAGCTGTAGAACATATTTTAAAAACTTTTTTTGAGACTCTCGCTAGCTGAAAATGCCATATTAAATCATTGGGAAAGCCTATTTCAGATTTAAAACTTATTTAGACAGACAAAAGTTCAAAAGGTTCATAAACAAGATGATTTTCAAGGCAAGTATACAATAAAAACAAGTAAATATGTGTTTTAAACAAATTAGACGAACGTTCCATGTTCGATCCCTGGTCGCTTTTTCTTTCTTTAATTTACAGCTTTTCAATTTTTCACTTTAGGGATTATAGGGGTGTACTCAGAGATAACAGAGATATAAGCAGTCATTCATAAAATATAATATTCATGGTGCCAACAATAGTTAGTACTGTATATATTCTATTTCTAGACGCGGGGCGAGGCGACGAAAGGTGAGAAGTAAGAGAAGGGATAGAGTGAAGGATTTTACGTAGTATTATCAATGAATAACTGCCCGAGCTTATACTACATAACGTAAATTTCCATGCCGGTGTAAGCCCTGTTGCCACTTCCAATTTAACATCTCTAGGTTTTGGAATTTGTTGAAAATTATTACATCTAATTTAATGAAATTACATCTAATTTGGTTAAAAATGGCTATTTTTTGTTCTAATGCTCAATTAGGTCTTTGTACAAAGTATTTTTTTTTATAATTATTTAAAATCATTTACATTAGCCCTTATGGTCGAAAAAAAAAATTTAAACGTCAATACCTCGGTTTCAACCGTCTACAAATTTGTATAAAAAATGTTCTTTTAGAAATATACTTCTCATTTGACGAAAAACGAAGGCATAAATGAAAAACAACTATTCTTTATAAAAGTTTCGCCTATATATTGACAAGGTAAAAGTACTTTCGTCATATTTTTTGCTTTTAAATTAACAAAAATATAGCAATAAACAATTAGTGATGTCATGGTTTTACTAGAAAGCAAACATTAAAGGCAGAGCCTCTCGACTCTTTATGCATCTATCTCAGTATTGAAATGTATGCAATCAGTTTGAATCTCTAACATTATTTTATACAGGGATTATTGATTTTTCCACTATGAATAATAGGGTGTATTAATTACTTCAAGATTTTTTTTAATTTTTGGTGGAAAATGAAAAATAAGAAAATATAAACTATTTATTAAAGGTATTTATTGAAGTATCAATTATAAACAGTAAGGCTATTGCTTTGCAAAATACAATAAATCCCCAATATAAATAAATTATAATAATAATAATAATTGGAAGGAAGTATATAAAGCATAAATTAATAATATTAAAATTTATAATTACACGACTTTCAAACTAATCAGAATCAGATTCACCACACGAATCAACATTTTCCAAAACATTAGCGGCTGTGCCATACAGGTGCAGGAACCGATACAGCAAATATTTTTTTTCTGCATTTGCAAATTTTGCTTCCACAGTCTAAAACAGAATATTATTGTTAGAATATTGTATAGTATCTTTTTTGCATTTGCATGATGTAAGTTCTGTTATGTCTGGTGGCAGGTCGGACAGAGTCTTAAAAGTGGGTATCAGACTTCCATCTTGATCTACTTTCCATCCATACTCTTCAACATTAGGAAGCTGCATCTGGGTTTAAAGAGGTTAGCCAAATATTTAGCTGGTAAAAACATCTTAAACAATGTAGTCTTAGGGCGTCTTCAGTCGGTGGCAATTTAGCGATGGTTTTTGAAGAGGCCAATAATCCCCCCAAAATGTTAATGGAAGTAACATTGGCAGTTTTGAATAAATTTTTATGAAAATTCTTTCAAGATTAGAGAATATGTTTTCAGAGTACTGATCAATGCCAAATCCATCCAAAAAGTAATGGTGTTAAAGGTAAGTTTTCCAACAGGTTCTTTTCCCAATGCTGGACAATTAGCTGGTTGTATTACAACCGCTCAGAGAATGAAAAGCAGGCACATTTTTTAGAAGGTTTTCATCCAAATTTAAATAATGTACTGCTAGAAATCATCTTGAGTCTCCTCGCCCTGTTCTGAACCATATATCTTCAGTCAAAAACTTCTTAAAATAAATTAATAAGACATCTGTATCGTTGCAATAAATAATGCAGCGTGAATGCCTGAAATTTTTGGCTGACAATATGTGCAATAAGATACGATTATTAGCGTCTTCGTGATTTGAATTTAAAAAATCGTCTTTTGATGGTTTAAAATCTTTCCATATTTATTGATTATTGCGAGTTTTGAAGAAGTTGCTCTGGCAGAAAATGTGTTAAACGTCTTTTGTTAAATATCGAATGAATAAACAAGTTCTATTGTTGCGGAAGTAGAATATTGGGTCGGTCAATTTCTATATCAATTGATTTCTGAAATCCTCTCTTTTGACGTGTTGTATTTTTGATAGAATGTCCTTTATAATGATCAAATACCACATCTATCATTTGAGCATTAAATTTATTTCTAAAAATAATGTTTACAAATATATGAGCATATTCTTTAAATGATATGCAACTTTTGAGCTTTCCTATTTTGATATAATTTTTGTCTTTGCTACTTGTAGCAACAAATCCGTAATTAAAATTTTAAACGAAAACTTATGACTTACCCAAATATATTCAGCTGCAACAGGATGAATGTAGATATAATAAAGATGCAAAAATGTCTATATTTTTTCCCAATTTATTAGGTAATTTAATATATAACACATACACTTATTAATTCTTTAGTAAAAACAGATAACAATATGACACATTGCCCAATGGAACATAACGAGAAGTTTTATAATAAAAAAAATGAAAAATCCTACCATATCAATAATGTGATACATCAGCCGGCACGTAGAGAGAAACAGAGCTATGCTACGTTTGAAGGTGAAGAGAAAGATACACTGAGAGTTGATAAATTTGGCGGTGAGAATTAATAACAGCATAAACCTATGACATCTCTCATCGTTTATTGTTATATCTTTGTTAATTCAAAAGCAAAAAATATGGTGTTTACTCTGTTACCTTGTCAACACATAACCAAAAATTTTATAAGGAATGTTTTTTTTTCATTTAGGCCTTCGTTTTTTGTTAAATGAGTGGTATATTTAAAAAAGACGACTTTTTAACTAAATTTTTGAAGGGCTAAAACCAAGATATTTACGTTTATATTTTTTTTCAGCCGTAAGTGCTAATGCAAATGATTTTTTTTAAATAAGTATGAACAATTACTCCCTACAAAGATTTTATTGTGCATTTGATCAAAAAATGAGTATTTTTTCTCTATTCGGTGGTATCAATATCTGAATTTTTGATGATAATGCCCTTCTGCACACTCTAATTTTGTATTAACTCCGGAATAAGGGTTACCTTATCATGACCTTTCATCTGTGAAAAATTCAGCCTTGTGACAAAAGAGTGGGAGGTGAATCGTTTTCTTGAGCGAATATTTTAATACATACACTTTACTAACAATGACAACAGCGGATATTATGTCCTACTGTGTCCCTTAGAATATGTCTTATTCACGGCCGCACGATATTTGTTAGTAGTTACATCTCCTGGTTATCTCTGGGTGTACTTTTCATAATTTCGTAGGGGGTAATGGGGACTATTTCATTTTCGTATTTCCAAAATTGCAAGTAGACAAGTGTTTTAATGATAAATGTCATAAAACTATTATTTGTACTTGGTATCGACGATTTTGATGAAAAAGTGGTAAAACACAAAACACCTAAAGAGCTTAAGTAAGTTTTTATAATTTTTATATATCTTAACGGCCTTAATGTGGATTTATGGATAATGTATCCGAAATATTTCACATTGTTTTATTTATAAAATATAACTTCATTCAAATCAACAAATATAACAATATTTTTGTATTTGATTCGATTTATTACAGTTACTACTATACTGACCTGACATTGACATATGGCAACACCTTCAAATTACATAAGTATGAAATGTTATTTCTATAATGTGAAAAATAGTAACTAAATCTAAAAATAAAAAATCAAGCCTTTGAGGGTAAATTTAACTTTTTCTAATTCATATGAAAAAAATATGCTACATAACCTAATTTCATGTAACACCCCCATACGGATATAAAAATAAAATAAATTGAATATCAATCCTTAATTTGGCTTTACCTTTTTTTCAAATATCCTCATTTTGTGCTGCTGTCTACAAATAATTTTACGAGTTACCTATATAAATAAGCACTCACTCGCGACAAGCTGCACTTTATTGATACTTGAAATGTAATGGGTCATGAAAACATTTGATAATCTCACCTTATATTGACAGAAAAAATACGATACGCTAATTGTTTAAAATTGGTAGCAAATAGAGAAATCTCGCAATAATTATTTATATAGTGTGGAAGAAAAGAGACAAACTATTTCTAGTTTGTGTAAGGCCCGATAAAGTAAAGTAGTAAACTACAATTTCCTTTATTTCTACAATATTTATAAGAATTTATTAGCAACCAAATAATAGTACGTTAATCTTGTAAAAATAGGTAGGGGAGATCAGGGTTGGTTGTCATAAGAGCTAGGTTAACAATGCACTTTTAAATCACGTGACACTTTATCTAGAACGCTGTGTCTCACATCTAAACTAAAAGTGTCGTATTGTGCACTAAAATAAACTTATCCGCAAACGATCATCCGAAATCATGTATGCAATAAAAAATTATAGAGATCGTATCGCAAACACTTTTCTTAAAAATTAGAATTTTGCACATTTTGTCAAAATTCTCGAATACGGACCATTTTAAGAAAATTATGTATATGACAAAAATTATAGAGATTAACATAACAAGCAATTTTTATTTAAAGAATTTTCTTCTCCAAGAGTAAATACCAAGTATATTCCACAAAGTAGAAAAATGAATACCCCTGATTTTCCGACTATGCTTCCGACTATGCCCAAACATTTAATCTTTCTACTGCAGGATAGATTGAAGCCTAAATTTAAAATTTGATGTTTTTCTCTTTGTCCATTTTTTCTTCAAAATTCGAAATTTACACTTTTCTCAAATATCTCAAATACGGTTTATTTTAGAGAAATTATATAGAACCAGAATTATAGAGAATGGTTATCACAAATAAGTTTCTTAAAAATTTGAATTTTTTACATTTTGTCAAATTTCTCGAATACGGACCATTTCAGGAAAATTTTGCATAGGCTAAAAATGATATAGAATAATCTAAGAAATAACTTTTATTTATTGAATTTTGTTCTCCAAACGTAAATAACAGGTATTCTATAAAATATAAAAATGACCCCCTATAAAGTATCCCCCAGATGTTCCAACTCTGCCAAAATCTAATCAGTTCATCTCAGGCTTTTAAACTTAAGTTTAACATTTGGTATTTTTCTCTGTATCCTTTCATGAGTTATCAAGTATAGAGACAAACACACACAGACATCATCGCGAAAATAGTCAAAACGGATTCAGGGGACCCCAAAACGTGAAAATCAAAGAAAAAACTTGAATTAATATCAAAGAAAAAAATACTGCATAAATAAAATAAATAATTATAATTGCATAAGTTGATAAAAAATGCTATGCAATAGCTTTACCGCGGCAGTCCCCGAGTGTCACACGTATTTTTTTTTTCAGTGCATTCCTAGTAAAATAAAATAAAATAAAATTAATTTAAAAAAAAATTATACGTAAAAAAACAATTTCAAGAACTTAAAATTTCAATTTTTTTTTATTTTTATGAGTGCTTTTACCAAATATTTGGTTTAAGTCTAGTCTAGACAATAATAAAAAAAAACAAAACAATTCCCTTGTCTCGTAAAAAAGGTTCTTAAATTTATAACATTTATGATAACACTTAATTGGGTATTTATATAGTATAATTGTTAAAATAAATAAATAAATAAATAAATAATAGCAAAGGTTGCTATACGTGTGAAGGCAGTTAGCATCTAGTATATAATTGATTCCAATAATTTTATAATTTTAGCCAATCCTTTATTTATTACCATAATTGAGAATTCATTATAAAGTGAAAATAATTTTACATGGTGAATCCAAAAAAATCTAGTTATTCGGAAAAATATATTTACTGTTTTCTTTTCTTTACTAACTTTTTCTGTAAGAAAGATAACAATCTATCCTTCAGTTTTCAACGCCTTAACGGGAATATTAGAAAATTCATTGTTGTTGATTATTTTATTTTAATATATTTTTAAATGCAGCTTTTAATGATAAATCCACGTCCCTTGGTAAAGGCTGTCAAGGCTGGCACTCATGCTGCCTCTTAATGAAAGTCTGGCTACGTCCATGATTTTAATGTTAAGAAATACAAACTTTAATCGCAATCAACTAAAATAATAAATTATTAATAAAATTAGATTTCAAATGAAGTTTCATACTTTATAATAGTTTGCAGTTTTTATTCTGCTATTAAAGTCTTAAAGTCAGTTGAAGCAACGCAATGAATAGTCATATTGCTGAATTCTCCATATAATTATCTTTTTAATGATGTGACATTCTTGATACTTTCCTTATTTAAATTTTATTGGTTAGAGAAAACGAGGGGAGGCGAATGGCGTATGTCAGTTGAGGATGATAGAAAGATGGGGCATCTAATGGGGCATGTTCAAAAATTTTGAATTTTTTTTTATGAATAGTAGAGTTAAAAATAAAACTACATTTTTTTAATTTTTTTTTTTTTATCTATTCATTTGCCGGAGTTATGAATTTTTTTAAAATGTATGACGTCACCGGGAATAGACCAATAGGAGCTAGCGCACAACGTTGCCGGCTAGAAGGTTTACGAGAAGTGATATACGTTCGTTTGTGTACTCCTTCTTACTTTTAGACTTCTAAAACATCGATAAACAAATATCTTTTAAATATATAATATCAAATGTTTTTTGAAAGTATTATTTCTGTTTAAACTTTTACCATATTTAAAGTTTCATTGTTTTAAAAGTCACTTAATAATTCAGAAAATGGCAAAATGGCAGCACTGTGTATGGCATCTGTCATCATAGTGTATCGATTTTTGCTGCGTTTGAGAATCCACATCGGATGCATCTGAGATGTAAAAAATCTTTGATCACGTGATTCAGTATACGTAAATGTAATGGGACAGATGTGTCCGATGTGAATAAAAAAACGCTCGAGATGTAAAAAATGCATCCGATGTGGATTCTCAAACGCAGCAATGGTCTCGATTAAGAATTTATTTGGAATTTGAGTGTTTAATTTTGTACTTTTTATAAATATACGAAATGTTCCTAGAAATTTGGAAAGAAGAAAATCAACCTTCTACTAGCGATGTTTCTCGTAAACTTTTTAATAAAAATACACCGGATTATCAAGATGTAGCAGCAATTTCTGCTAATTGTCCCCTTCAGGAAATTGAAAATGAGGCTACTATAAATTCTTAGGTGTATAACCTAAAAACCCTTCTGGAAGAAAATGCAGAATCTCCTGAAAGTTTTGAAGATACCGAAATTATTCATCATTTTGTGGAAGAACTAGTGATAAAAAAATAATAGAAAAATGTGGGTATTTAAACAAACTGGTTCCTGGATCCCATTTAATGGCAGATAGGGGTTTCAGAATATTCAGCTACTTGAAAACATGGGATGCACTTTAGTAAAGCCACACCTAGTGTATCACAGAATGAAAAAAGTTCTCCAGAAGATGTACAATTAAGTAAAAGAATAGCATCTCTAAGAATACATGTGGAAAGAGTTATAAGAAGGGTTAGTTAATTTAACATGTTAAAACCACATTCGTGTGTGAATTTTAAGCAAGTACATTTACTTAGTAATATCTGCATAATTGCTTGTTAACTTACAAGAACCTATTTTGTAAGAGTAAATAATAATTTAATAAATTTTTTTTGTTTGTTTTTTTAATTTAATTTACCTAGTTTTTAAACAGCCAATGTAATTTTTTTATAAAATTTTAACTTTTCGAACAAATCAAAGAGGAATGAGTACCTGTATATGCAGATTTTTTTTAAAACTACCAAAACAAAGGCACCTATTTACAGCAGTTTAAAATGAAACATTTTGACAAAAACGCCTATGTCACAGTAATAAATATTAAAAACAACCAAGTTCAGTTGAATGTGGTAGCAAAGTCTATATATTCCAATAAATCGGGTAACTACATGTGGTATCACTGGTGATAAATTTAAAAATATCACAATTCTTGCCACCTTTTTCAAAAAACCAGAAAGTGTGCCTTCTTATCAATCCTTTATGAAAATGACAACAGTGATAAATGTGAAAAAAAAAAATTAATGTTGCTATTCGTTATTACGATAGTAAAACATGTTTGCAGTTCCGTTTATTTTTTATGAAAATCTAAGTAAAAACAACCAATGTCAAAGGGTTATAATTTTTTTTCTGTCGAACCAAATATATCACAAAATTTAAAAATTGATCATAGGTCAAGCTAAAGTAATACCTTTATTGATAGTAGCTTTAAAAAAGGAGAAATAATAATATTGACTTAAGTTATTATTATTAACATTGGTGATTTTTAATAAAAACTCTTCAATTATTGTTTACAAACAAAAATATAAAAATCTGTGAAAATTTTATTTATTAACCTTTTAATAAAAAATGAGAAAAATAAAGTAAAAAACAATTTATTTACAAATAAAAAATATATATACAAATCCTAAGAATATAAAAGTACTGATTTATTTTCCTGTAGTGGATGAAGAGGTTTCTTTAACAATCTAGCCAAGTGTACATCAATATTTACGCATTTTAATAAATTAGAGCCTTTCCAATAACACTGAGTAGATGTTACAGATGGTTCCTCACTTCTTCTATGAAGCCACATATTTACAACCAACTGAAAAAAATAAAAGGGTTAGATATGCAGTTACAAAATAACTATATAACCAGCTACAAAATGCCTTTATTTTATGTAACAAGACGAGCAGAGCTTTACTAGCTCTGAACGAATCCAGTAAAGAACCTCGGATTTTCAAAACTTAAAAAAAAAACAATCTCACCACATTTTCACATTTTTGAAATATTATAGAGCTTTTCGTAAAAAACTGCTATTTTTAAAAATACAATTTTTTGTTTAAACAGCTATGTCTCATTTTAGGCTATTGAGTATTATAAAATAAAAAATTACGGGATGCTTTGTTAGCTTCAAACGAATCCAGCAGAGCACCCCAGTTTTTTTTTTAAACCACACCACGTTTTTTGGCTCCGACAATATTATAAAATATTCAAAATTTGGCATTTTAA